GTTGTGCTGGCATTAACCCCGGGCCAGGGTCTGTGCTGGGGCCTGGGATAAGTATCAAGTTAAAAAGACATAGGCCCCGTTTCAGAGTTTCAAGTTGAGTCAGAGAGAACAAGGAGACCTGTAGGAGACTAAATCAGGGCATTAAATCAGAGGCCTAGCATGCTTGGTCCTGGAAGGAATGAACTCCTGTCTGGTGCCTGGAGGACTAACTTCCAGTCCTGACTCTCACACCAGTTTGCTTGTCACCCTGGGTGGGGCCACTTGCCCTTTCTGAGCCTCAGCCTTCTCACCCCCTGGGGTGGGACTCCCTGGGGGTTGGTGAGCCGTGGAGGCTCTGGGCCTCATTCCCAAGAGTGGGATTCCTCAGCTCCCCGGAGTGGGGCTGGCTCAGGCAGTTCTGGGAGAGGCTTAGGAGAAGTGCTGCCCTCCAGAGCTCATGTGCCTTTGTGGCTGTGTCCCTTGTCCCCAGGGTCAGCAGCCTGGGCTAGTCTGTCCCCTACTGCCAATCTGCCTCATGCTGGACAAGGACACTGTTGGGATATACTCAGCTGTGACTTCTAGAAGCCCCCATGGCTTTGCTTCTGCAGGCATCGGACCCTGCAGTAGGAAGGGTGTCCCTGTGTCCCCTCTGGGCCCTCACTGCACAGTGCCTACAGTGTGGTCCAGCCAGATGTTCGGGCTGCTTCAGCTTCAGTCTTTTCTGACCCAGCCCCAAAATAAGGCCCCTGTCACCTGTGTCTCCTGTGCTTTACGGTTTCCAAAACACACCAGAGGCCTTCCAGTGAGTGAGCCCAGGCTGGGATTGCTAATAGCCCTTTCAGCAGGTAGGAGACTGAGGCCCACGAAGCTCAGAGCTGGACCACACATTGAGGTCATGGCAGAGGAGGGATCAGAAGTGCATCCCCCACAACCCTGGGCAGGGCAGCCCACCTTTGAACTCTGCCGTCATGCACTCCTCTCCCATCCAGGGCCCAGGACTCAGCTGCAGTCCCCCCCTGCCCCGCCCCCAGAGCCAGGCCCCCTGCCCTGCCCCCAGCCCCGAGGCCGGGCAGGCAGCGTGGGCAGGTGCAACAGGGAGGAGGCTTTTGCTGCAGAGCTGCTTTTAACATTCCAGACGCTATTGTTTGCCTCAGTGGGTTCGTTGCCTCTCTTGGTCCCCGACAATCTGTTCCTCTGTCTTCTCACATATATATAGATCCCCCCTCCCTCAACTGTAAGCCTTCTCCCACTTTCCATCCTTCTCTCTTTCATCACGTGGGAAGGAAGGCTCTGGAAGTGGCAGATCAGAGCAGCTGCGGGGGAGGCTGTTTGGCAGGGGTAGGAAGGGCCCAAGCCTGGCACAGCTTCCCCTCTTCAGGCGGGCACCTTTCTGCTTTCCCTTTCACTGACCTCTCCTGCAGCA